AAACAATAAATTTGGCATTGTTTGACACACAAACTAATGTCAGTGTTCATAAATAATTGATGAGTGTTTGTATCTATCACTTGATCTGTCTGTCTTATAGATCGATAATATGTAATGCAGGACGATTGGATAATATATTTGTCTTTTATAACATATAATGTTTGAATTAATTTTGTTTGGACTAGTTCATCAGACTTTTCTAGCAGGTGTTAAACTTACCCTCTGTCTGTTACAGTGAACCCACCCATGCTCTAAACACAGCGCTTTCTGTCTTTTTCAGTGGAACTGTACAAGAACGGGAGGTGCTAGAAACAATGGTCAAGTGTTCGTTTGTAGCGGAGATGTATATGCTGCTTGTATAAAAAAAAAGATTATTCCAACTTAAATATTTTTGAAAATTATTTCGCATAAACCAAAACATGTTAGGTTGTGCCCCACTCTCCCCCAAACCAATTAAATTGAGTCTGTTAGCAGAAACCAGTGACCAGTTCAACTGGCAGTTCTTCATACGGTTGGATTTTATGAGAATGGATTTCAACACGAAAAGCTGGGCTTCTTCAAGCATGAAGCCACATTGTCGTCTGAAGCTCTGTGCTTTGTTAAGAGGTTTATGCACAACATTTTTTCTTGCTGTACTTTTGCTTTCACTTTAGTGAGAACCACAAACTGCATGTTGTAACATTGCAAAATTGATGCAGTTGAATAGCCACCTTCACATCAATGCTTTGACGCAGTTTTACACCTCGTTCCTCAGCATTAGCACCGTGCTGAATCAGGGTGCTCTCTGACCCACATTTCTGCTGTAAGCCTGACTCACCGCATCCCTAACATCTACTACTGACTCAGTCAGAGCACCGTGCAGAGAGGGGGAGGTGGGGGGAGTGCTTATCCTCTGTGAAGGAGATGTGTGATGACTCAGAGGGATTGGTGATCCTTGGTAATCGTTGCTGTCCTTGGGTATTATACGTGTCCAACACATCCCCGAGCTGCTGCTGAACAGGTAACAGTGTTCAGTCTGGGTAATGGATCTGAAAGACTGCCCGAACTGTAGGGGTAATAACGTCACTCTTAGGAGCCGAACTGGATCTAAAATAACGAGAACATAGTAGCTTTTCCTCTAAACTAGCTCAGTCCTCATTTACACTCACTCTGTCCTCTCGTTCAGATTTACTCTGCTCATTTAGACTCTAGCTGTGTCCCAATTCAGGGGCTGCATCCTTCGAAGGACATGGTATACGAAGGCATGTCCTTTGAAGGCTGTATAGACCTGCAAAGGCTGAACTGAGATGAGATGGTGTGCTCTATGGCAGATTTTCTGTTTTCTGTCACAGCACCGCTGATCCCGCCCTTACCGGTGTGTCTTGAAACGCTGCTCTTGTCAAGTTATTTTAAAGTTCTTTAAAGATGAAGCCAGAAACTTTCATTTTGGTGTTTTTTTTTTTCATTTATTAGAGCTGGAGATGCTTCTCTCTGTCTGGTCCTTGCTCCATAAAGCAAAACGAAACATTAGTATAAGTTTTGCTTCAAACCACATAGGGTTTTACATTTGTATCATTAGCTATTCGACTCAGTTTAAACCCAATACATACATATTTAAGTGTCTCCTCAGCCGCCGTTCACTCCTCTGCTGACATTTCCATGTCGAATCCTCGCCGGCACACAATGAACCTCATAATATGTTGTTTCCATTGAAAAGGACACATTTCTCGGCCGCATATGAAGGAGCCTTCGAAATGGAACAGCCTAGTCGCACTGCTGCGACGCAGTCGGCCTTCATATTCAGCCTCCAAAGGACGCAGCCCCTGGATTGGGACGCAGCTTGTGTCCCCTTGTTCAGATTCACTGTTGTCAATTAGACTCTGTCGCCTCTTTCAGATTCACTCTGTCCTCTCTTTCAGTTTCACTGTTCTCATTTAGACTCTGTCCTCTCTTTCAGACTCGCTCTGTCCCCTCGTTCAGATTCACTATTCTCATTTAGACTCTGTCCCCTCATTCAGATTCATTGTTCTCGTTTAGACTCTGTCCCCTCATTTAGACTCTGTCGCCTCTTTCAGATTCACTCTGTCCTCTCTTTCAGTTTCACTATTCTCATTTAGACTCTGTCCCTTCATTCAGACTCGCTCTGTCCCCTCATTCAGATTCACTATTCTCATTTAGACTCTGTCCCTTCATTCAGACTTGCTCTGTCCCCTCATTCAGATTCACTATTCTTATTTAGACTCTGTCCCCTTACTGAGACTCACTGTCCTCTCACTCAGACTCCCTGTCCCCTTGTTCAGACTCACTGTGTCCCCTCATTCAGATTCACTGTTCTCATTTAGACTCTGTCCCTTCATTCAGACTTGCTCTGTCCCCTCATTCAGATTCACTATTCTTATTTAGACTCTGTCCCCTTACTGAGACTCACTGTCCTCTCACTCAGACTCCCTGTCCTCTCATTCAGACTCGCTCTGTCCTCTCATTCAGATATTATTTTTAGATAAATTGTAAAATATTGTGTGTATAGTTGTATAAGTTATATGAAAGTCTTTTTCGTTTCTTAATGAAATGTATTTATCTGTATTTAATTTATTTATAAACACTATACACATAATGTGGATGATTATTTCTCATAGCAAGAAGGAACTTTGTTCAGCCTTTTGATACAAAGCCCAGTTTCTGCTGTACCCAGGTAGAATAAAACCTACAACCCTGGTTTTATATTAGTACTCGACCACTAAGGTTTATAAAAGCAATGAGTGTTTGAACTGTACTTCTTCTTCTGTTATTTTAAAATAGTTTCTATTATTGAAAAACAAAGTGCCTGTTTCAGAAACACTTTCTCCCTCTCTCTCTCTCTCACACACACCCACCCACAAAACAATCACTCACGCTGTTTCACAGTGAGCCGTATTTTTGGAGCTGTATTTTTGGTTGCCGTTTTGCATACACTGCTCCTCAGGTGTCGTCGTCCTCCTCTCGTTTGCGGCTGCTATAAATAGGATGAGGTTGTCATGGTGATAACCTTCCCAGAAGCTCTTTCTCCAGCATCACATTTTAAATGGAAGCTGTGTGTTTAATAGGCCATATATTGCCAGTTTTGCTTCAGTATCATTTGCACAATCCTCATAGATGATTCGTCAGGTTTTATATGCAGTCAATACAAAACAATAGCCTTGACATGCTTCACGTTCACTTAATGAGAAACATCCACTATGCATCTACTAACTGCCCACTTTATTAGAAAAAAATAACTTGTACTTCCACTCACTGGCCATTTTATTAGAAACACCTGACTTGTACTTCCACTCACTGGCCATTTTATTAGAAACACCTGACTTGTACTTCCACTAACTGGCCACTTTATTAGAGACACGTTCTTTGTGCTTGTAAATCTACTCATCATGTGTCTGTATTCTGATTTAAATTACTGATTATTAAATTGTTAGTTAAAAATTACTGACAGTGGACATCGTGGCCCCTTTAGAAAGAATGAAAATCTACAGCCTTTCTGGAAAAAAATGATCCACTACCTGTTAATAATGTGTATAATTTATAAATGTGTTTATGCCTCCAAGTTTTCTTTGTTGATGAAGATGATCTCTTCACAGTCAGTATGTTGTAATATTGGACACTTTCAGTACAGTATTGAAAATTTAATTTAAAACCTTATTGTCGATATGCCCCTCACTGGTCAATACACCCCACTGCCAGTGATCAACATCAGGCATCTGAGTGCAGCCTGTCAGAGTAAGGTGGGCAGGGCTTATACTGTGGGCAAACCGATGCTCAAGTCACTAGGCATTGTTTCTGAGCAGTTTATTAATTTTACAAGGTGTGATGTTTGGAGTTTTTGTTAGATGTTGTTCTGTTGGTGGACTTTTATTTGTCTGAGCCAAACCAGTCTGTGTAGAACATTATTAGAGCTCAGTAGAATCAGAATATTTCAACACATAAAAACAAAAAAGCTAATTACATCATGACCTCAAATATGTGTGTCATTAGTTTATTACTTCAGTATTTTGTGCTGTGTTTGTGATGAGTAAGGAGAAAAATGCCCACATAACATACACACCATTTACTGAGTCACCTGATTTTGTTTGTGCATTTAGCATTTTATGCTTAAGCATGTAATATACAGTCCTGTGCAAAAGTCAGAGACCCCCTTCATTTATTTAATTTCCAGTCGAAACAGCCATTTAAAAGAAAATTATACAGAGCTAAATACATCATCAGATGTCTGAGTGTTCAGTGTGTCACTCTTCTCCTTAATTACAGCTTCCATTCTTTTCAGGAGACTCACTTTCAGTTTCTCAAAGAAATCTACAGACACACCTCCAAAGTTCAGTCTTAGAAGCTGGTTGATCATTTTCTGAAGTAATCAAACACATTCAGTGATGTTGAGGTCTGATGTTGGTGGTCAGTGGTCAGTGATTCAGTGATGAGGTTTGGACTCTGGGGTGGTCAGTTCATTATTCAGCTTCTTTGTTTGATGTGTCCGTCTCCTTTTCTCAGTGAGGTTCTTCTTGACAGCTACACATCCTTTCAGACCCATAGCGCTGAGTCGTCTTCTCACAGTGGAAGGATGGACAGAAACACCTGTGGATGTTTTCAGATCTGAAGCAGCTTGATTTTCTCCTCTCTCTCAAAGATGAAAGCTTTAAGTGCCGTTTATCTGATGGGGGCAGTTTTGGTGTCTACCAGGTCTTCCAGGTGGTTGTTAGGAGTCTCATTTTCTCTGTAGCTTTAATCATTTTTTTAAACACCAGGTTTGGAAACTCCTGTTTAATTTATATATTTTTTGACTTTATCCTTTCTTATGCACGTGGAATATCTTATATCTAATCTCCTCAGAAATATCTCCTGAAATCAGAATAGTTAATTCTTAATTAATGGCTGTTTTGACTGGATATGAAAGAAAATGAAGGACTTTTGCACAGAACTGATTGACTGTTGTTTTTCTGACTGTGTTGAAAATGTTCCTCCACAGCACTAATCAGAGTATCCTCGTTTATTCCCAGATCAGCAGCAACCTGTTCAGAACTCTGCCTCCCAGTGAAAACCCTGATTTCGACCCAGAAGAAGATGAACCCACACTGGAAGCCTCGTGGCCTCACATGCAGGTAAACACAGTACAGTTCAAACATTTCAGTCACTTGTAGTGTATATGTTTCATTTTTTATGGAACAACAATAGACAGATTTGAATATTACAATATCTCATAGACCCATATTTTGTTCACAAAAGAACATAGAACACATATCAGATGTTGAGAGTGAGACATTTTTCCATTGCATGAAAAACATTAACTCATTTAGAACTTGATGGCAGCAACGCATCTCAAAAAAAACTTGGGACAGGGGCAACAAAAAGCTGTAAAAGTAAGTGGTACTAATAAAAAACAGCTGGAGGAGCAATTTGCAATTAACTCACTTGACTGGGTATAAAAAGAGAAAATTCTAAACATTAGTTTTATTAGACCTATTAACCTAGATATTTTATTAGACCTATTAACCTAGATATAAGTTTTATTAGAACTTCATTCCAGATATTAATTGTTTTGAAACTTCCTTCTAAATATTAGCATTTTTAGAAATTTATTCTAGATATCAGCTTTATTAGAACTTTAATCTGGAGAATAATTTTGATTAAAATGTCACTCTGGATATTAGTTTTGTTGGAACTTCGCTCTAAATATTAATTTTATTAGAACTTTTATTCTAAATTAGAAATTTAAATATTAGTTTTATTTGAACATCATTCTGGATATGAACATTTAATATTAATATTGAAAGTGAAAGGCCTGTGAATTTGTACAGGATGAGCATCATATGAGAATCACTTTATACGAGTATCTTTAACAGAACTGTTTTCATACTGTTGAACACAGTGATTCAGAGCGTATGAACACAGTAGCACTGTGTAGAGATGTGACTGAGGTGTAATGACTCTGTATATTAATGAGTGCTGGATGAGTAACAGCTCTAATATCACTGCAGACAGGTTGCCTGTTAAAGCGGAACTGAGGAAAGAGAAATAAATCAGTAATGAGGATAAATCCAGCATACAGTCTTATGCAAATTTTGGGTGCCTCTGGTCAAATCACATGTTTTGTTGATTTGTTGAAGCGTTGTCAGTAAGCATCTTTACAGAAAGTGAGCAAGCCCCAAATGAGCTTCGCCAAGGGCGACAGTGGCAAGAAAAGTTCCCTAAGAGTAAGAGGAAGAAACCTGGAGAGGAACCAAGACTCAGAAGGGAAACCCATCCCCCTCTAGTCGACACTGTCGATATTTATGATCTATTTATATGTGTACTTACTGTGTGTGTGTGTGTGTGTGTGTGTGTGTGTGTGTGTGTGTGTGTTTGTGTGTGTGTGTGTGTGTGTTTCTGTTTTTGTTTCCGCAGGTGGTGTATGAGTTTTTCCTGCGTTTCTTAGAAAACCCAGACTTCCAGCCGAGCACCGCCAAACGTTACATCGACCAGAAGTTTGTGCTGCAGGTCTGTGTTTAGCCATAACGTTGCTTAGCATGTTTTGAGTCGAAAGACGAAAAGAAAACACACTTCAAGTTTTGAGAATGAACACATTGTTGTTCACATCGAATCAAAACTGGTGGATTGTGATGCTGCATAAAAAAACTGAATTGGAGCCGGCTCAACTTTGTGTGTTGTACAGATATGATAAAAATCTGGCTGACCACTCTGAGATTCGTTGTCATGGTTCTAGTCCAAACAAATCAAGTGGTCTTTGTCATTCATCAATATAGCTTGTATACATTAGAATGAAATGTTGTTCTTCAGGCCTCAAGGTGGGCAGCAGAACAGCTCATCTTGCTCATGGCAGAGCACGAAAGCTTAAACAACAAGCAACACGTTCACTATAACAATGCAGAAGTTAAAAAAATATGTAGGATCAGGAGTGACTGTTTATAACCGTTCATTTGTTTATCTAGGTGTATCCTGAGCCCCATTTGCATTTGATTATTTGGGAGATGTCTGGAAACAAATTTTTCACACGTCTCCTCAGTGCTGAAATCTCTCACATCCGTATGGCAGTAAAATGACCACAGGATGAGTGAGCTTCTAGTGCATGTCAAACCGGGGACCTTCCGGGCCAAAGTCCTGTGGATATTACCATATACCATCATCTAACACTCTGAATTCAGTTCATAATGCCCTGCTAATTAGCTTATGAGCCAAATCAGGTGTGTTTAATGAGGCAGTGTGCTGAAGTCTGCATTGTTTTGGCCTGCAAGAACTGGAGCATTTAAAATTAGATCTTTAAAGAGCTGACAGTGATGCAGTTCTTATTTCTAGAGAACATTTTCTAAAAGATTTAATGGTAACACATTTTATTTGGAGTGGTCCTTTGTAGATGATTAATAAACTCTTAACAGATTATCAATAACACATCAACAACATAGCAGTGAAGTAGCAGTAGTGCAGCATCCGAATACACTGAAGTAAATATCTTCTAGATGTTCTGTTGATACATTACTGACATTAATTAGATGTATTGTTAATATGTTACTTCCATTATGCAAAACCTAACCTTACTCAGCCTTACCCAAAACCTAACCCTAACCCTGGCCTTAATCCTAACCTTAACCTTAACCCAAAGCCTAATCCTAACCCTCATATGTTCTTGATGTGTTCCTAGGAGTCCGTTGAGTGTTTGTTTCATCTAAAAAAGACCACTCAAAATAAAGTGTCACCAAGTTGGGAGTAAAAAGATCAGAGCAGTGCTGAGTGAAGGAGGGATAAAAACAACAACACAGCAGATCCAGATGGCAATAAAATCAGAGAAAGTTCTGTAAAAGTGGAAATTGCATTTAAACCTGTCTGATTAGGGCTTCAGTCTGTTCATGACTGGTTTCCCAAAGTGTTTGCTTTTTTAGTGACGGTGCTTACAAGAAAATGAAAAATTAATCACTGCTATTCATTGAATCAGTTTTCCTCCCTCTTCTGTCTTGGCCTTTTTCCTGAGTTTCCAGAGCATTAAAAACAAAAACATCAGATTTAATCGGGAGGTTCTTGCTCGATAATGGCAAAAGCCATAATTATGATTATATTGGTCAATATTGAGATCCTGATTATTTAGCATGATTACTCATTGACTTTGGAAACAAACTTTTTGACCGATTGAATTGTTAACCACCATGTAGCATGATGATGAATCTTATGAAGAAATTTCTTCTTAAAGCCCACTTCTATCCCAAAGATTCTAACGTTCACCAGTGTTTTCTTATTTGGGATTTGTTCTTAGATAAGAACACACTCTACACACACTCAAGAGCACAAAGGTGAGAACAGTTCTACAGTTTAAGAACATGTCATGACTTATTCTTAGGACCTTTCTCAAGAAAAGCTTTAAGAAAAAACAGGAAGATATTGGTGAATTAGGCCCAATGTTTTTTTGTTTTTTTTTCATGTGAAAAAGTAGTGTTTGGTGTGAATAGGCCATTACTACAGCGTGATTAATTATTACTATTGTGGGACTGTTTGTTGCATGTTTTCTTTCTTTGTACCTTAAAAACAGCATTTGTTTTGTCCTCTAGGGGGAAAACTGCAGCATGAACCACTTGTGTATCAAACCCAAAACTCTGCACACAATGCATGAAATAGGATCTCCTGAATAAAAATCTCAGGCTGTGTTATAAATAGCACATAGTGGTATTTATACACTCTTTAGCAAATGTGAGGATATTCTGGTCAAGAATTGTGCCTGTTGAGCTTTGAAAGGTACCATGACAGAGAGGAGGGTGTTGATCTCCAAAGCCACAAATTCACTTAAAATTGTCAGCTTTGGGTTCGTCTGTAATGACAAACCTGTTCGGCCTCCAGAGGCACATATTCCTAGGCTGTCAAATTGTTTGGAGATAACCAGGCGGTTACATCAGTGGTTACGTCCTCCTACTGGCCAGAGTAGAAGGCGTCATCCGGGCGTCTGTGGCGTACTGGAGGAATTCATGTTGGTAACATACTGCATACTACGTACTACTTTAGGGCACAGTCAGTATGCGAGCAGTATGTAGTATTTCCAACACAGCCTCAGGCCTTTGCAGTATTGTATTTTTTTTAAACATTATTTAGTGGGCTGACCACTAGATCAGGGGTCAGCAACATTAGATTTTTAGGTAAAAATAAAATAATCCTCCGTTGCAGTAAAATAAAGCTCTGCTGATCGTTCAACACAGTTTTAACAATAAATGGTCTTTAACGCTGGAGTTAATGTAGAACTGTTAATTCACCCTTTAACCCTGAAGATCAGCACGCAGACTGCTAGTCACCATAGCAACGCAGACAACTCGCCTAACTAGTAGCTAACGGAAAGGCAAAGGGAAAGATTTAAGATGAACATCAAAAATTTGGTGGCGAATGGGCTTATTTGCATTTATAATCACTCCAGCTGGTTTCCTGATACGATTATTCTGCAACGAGGAACTGACATAGTCACATTCTGCACCAAGTATATGGTCATTATTTGTGTTGTAGTTCACAGTCCTTTCAGAGAAGCGTCTACACGCACTTCAGTAATCAGATAATGAAAAAAGTAAACAAGAAACTGACTCCACCTTTGCGACTTTTTAGTGTTTGGCAGTTTCTCGCTGCAGATTAAACAAATCAGGAAAGCAGCTGGAGTGATTATTAATGCAAATAAGTCCATTCGTCTCAAAATGATCAATGTTCATCTTAAATCTTTCTCTTTACCTTTTTGTTAGCTACTAGATAAGCGAGATTGTTGTCTGTGTTGCTATGATGACCAGCAGTCTGCACACCAATGTTTAAGTTTAAAGGGTGAATTGGCAGTTATCATTAACTTCAGCGTTTCAGACCATTTATTGTTAAAGCTGTGTTAGAACGATCAGTAGAGCTTTATTTTACTGCAAAGGAGGATTGTTTTATTTTTTATTTTTACTTTAGAATCTAATTCTACTGTGGAGCCACAACGGGGCAGTAAAAGAGCCAACCCCTGTCTTAGAATATAAAATAAAAATTATATTATTGGTTACTGGAATTTTTAGCCACTTAAAATTGATATCTGCCACAAAATTTTCATAACAGTTGGGCCCTAGTTTGCAACATTACGGGTTGCATAATTTGTTAGCTACATTAGCCTCGTAGCTCCAGTGCTGAAACAAAGAAGTGAATTTCACCTGCTAAACATGATTTGGCTGATCAACTACATTTGGTTTAAGGTGTAAAACTGTAAATTGGATTTTTTGCCAGACTATTCCTTTGAGTTATGATGGTTGAGAGAGAGTCCCAGAGAGAGGGAGTCTGTGTCCAGTCGGGCTGTCCCTGATTCTCTCAGAGATTCCCCCACCGCTCTGTGTCCAGACTGTAAGTGTCCTGCTGGTATTAAAGGACAATTTTCCATGATGCACGTTTCCCACTGAGGCTTTAAATAGCAGACTGCTGTTTATCAGAGGGACAGAGAGACCGAGAGAGAGAGCGAAGTATGGTCAGTGATGGGAAGAGAGCACTATAAAACAGATTTAGTGTTTAAATTTAAAATAAGTAACCTGGAGTTTTATATGAAATGTTGAGGGCAAAACAGTGATGAATCTAAAAAATAAGGGACTGTTTTGCCTCACAGTGTCCTGTATGTGCCTCTGCCATGAATGTATTTTTTAAAAAAATACATTTTAGGTTCAAATGTTCTCCAAACTACACAACAAGATGGTTCTTTAAGGGTTATTTAGTACAGAAAATTGTTCTACATAGAGCCATGAACACTCCACGAACCCTTTGCATGATTAAAGGGCTCTTTTCATCATGGAAGGGTTCTTCAGATTGGTGGAGAAAATGCTGTAGATGGTTCCATATAGAACTGTTTTCAAAAAGGTTCTATAAACTTTTAAAATCTATTCTGAACGATACAGGCAGTCAGTGCAGCTCTTTTAAAGCGGAAGTGATATGATCTCTCTGTTTTGTCTTTGTTAAGATCTGTACGGCTGCGTTTTGTAAAGCACTGATGCATTTTGATGGTGGTTTTAATCAGTGACTCCAGTCATTCATTTAGAAATTGTTTTATATTTCTTCTGAGCATCAGGACATGCAGGAAATTTGGTATGGGATGCGTAGTGAATAATCACTCTTTCTCTTTTCACTCTTTCTCTTTTTTTGTTCCTCTTTGTTTGTTTCTTTCTTTCTCTTTCTTTCTCTTTCTCTTTCTCTTTCTTTCTTTCTTTCTTTCTTTCTTTCTTTCTTTCTTTCACAGCTGTTGGAGCTGTTTGACAGTGAAGACCCCCGTGAGAGAGATTTTCTGAAGACCATCCTCCATCGGATCTATGGAAAGTTCCTGGGTTTGCGTGCCTTCATCCGCAAACAAATAAACAACATTTTCTTACGGTAATGATACACTGGGAAAACACGAGTTCAGCATCTACATCATAAAAGATAATGTAAGATTAAATAACTCTGTTAAATGAACAGTTTGTGCAAAATTGTCATATATATATATATATTATATATATATATATATATTTTATATATATATATATATATATATATATATTACTGATAATGTAATACTTACATTTTACTACAGTTTTGGTAGTACATTATTGGGAACTTATTGCATCATTGGATTCTACTTGTCTACACTGGAAACGTCAGGTGAGCGTATCAAATCAAAATGTAAACAAAACGCGGACCTATCCGAAAATAGCTGCTCTACTGACGGGGCTGTGCAGCTGTGGTTTTGGGACTTTGTTTATTATTACTTAATTGGGAATGTATTACCTTCTGAGGCTGTTTATATGTAATACCTTATTAAATTATTGAGGTTTATTACATATTTGATTAGGTTAAGTGCAAAGTTTGTTACAATATTGAGTTCTACAAGACGTCCTGAAGACTTTGCGACGCGGTTTGATGCTACATTTGAGTGCTCGCTTGCTGTTAGGACAGGAAACAGTGATGTTGAAGGCTGAGAGCTGGGAAACCTGTTGAACTGTAGAGTTTCACTGAAATCTTAAAAAATAGCAGACTGTTGAGCTCTGCAGGTGGAGCTCTAGACAGAGTGACAGCAGCTCAGGGTCTACATTTGTGTCTGTGTAAGTCTCTCTCTGTCTCTGTCTCTGTCTCTCTCTCTGTCTGTCTCTCTCTGTCTCTCTCTCTCTCTCTCTCTCTCTCTCTCTCTCTCTCTCTCTCTCTCTCTCTCTCTCTCTCTCTCTGTACGTCAGTGGACCACTCCGACCATCTACTACAGGTTGAAAATAGCTGTGTGTAATGAGTGATGTGTCTGTTCGTGTACACTGTATGTCCAAAAGTGTATAGACACCAGCTTTTTTTTTTTTTATGCAATGAACAGTATTAAGTGTGCGGTTTGGGATGTTGGATCAGCCAGTGAGACACGTTCAACAGTCCAGCAGCTCCAGTGTCTGATTATAATGCTGCTGTGCTGCTTCTTAGCTGCTCATTACCCATCTCCTAAAGACAGTTTAAGGTGTTTCCTGATGAATGATGCATTTATTGAGCTAAGGTGGATTTTTTTTATTTTTCTGTATGAGCTGCCAGAATGTAACTGCTGCACTATTTAAGGTGGAACGGAAAATTTGAATGAGAAGCTGGCAAATAAGAAGCCAACTCCACCTTAATTGAGTTTATTATTTAAGAGCTTTGATAGCCATGTTTATTAGCTTTTGTAAAATCTCATGCACTGGAAGGTTCTGAACTTGAGAGTTTAATCTAATCTTCTCCTCATACTGTTTTCTGGAGACTGCATCTAGAGTGTCCACATATCTTTTCATCTTTTTCGTGGTCATTCTGGTGTATTTTGTTTGGTCCTTATCCACCCTCAAGGTTGTAGCTGCTGTTGAGGAGACGAGCTCTAACAGAGCACAGGCAGAGTTACAGCTCACCTACTAGAAAGGCAGCAAGGAGTTCTTCATGATGAAATCGAATACTGTTTATAAAATACTTAATTAGTTTATGGAGTTGCTTTTTTGTTTTTCTCCTCAGGTTCATTTATGAGACTGAACACTTTAACGGAGTGGCTGAACTCCTGGAGATATTGGGCAGGTCAGTTCTTACCTGTGCTGTTTTTAACTGTGTGATGTGACCACAATATGCATTCACATAGGCCCTTATTCCTAAAAATTGCATACAGTCAAATCAGATCGTACAATGAGTGCACACAAATTTCATATGCGGTTTTGTTAATCAGTTTCGTCTTTGGTTTATCTGTCCAGTCAAACTCTAGTCTGGTAGGAGTGTGTACATAAATGTTTAACAACCTGAAATAATGCTTGAGTTGCTGTTAACTAAGCAAAACTGTTATCAATATCATGTGTATATGTGTAGAGAGAGCGTTGTTAAATGAAGATCTTTCACCAAAAACATTCTATAGGGGTGATATTCTCCCTCAGGTCTAAAAGCAGAGATTAAGAAATGATAACTGTGAACTGTGAGCACATATTGCGGCTGCATCACAGCTACATCACAGCTACAAACATAACCTTGCACACATACATCTAATCCTGAGAGCTGAAATACTGTTGTTCTGTTGGTGAATAGTTTTTTCACTGTGTGTTTAAGCCCATGGCTCAGTCTAGTTGCTGTGACTGTTTGTGAAAGAGCCCATATCCTACATTTCTACATTCACTTATTACATTTGTATGGTTTTCTGCAACAAACTCTGTTGTATTTCTTTTTTTACGTGATCATTTTCCAACCTCTGTTTTAACATTTAACAGATTCAAACAGATTTACATTTTTGTTACTGTGTTTTAAGACTGATCTATGTAAATGAGGTCCATTCTGATTGGCTGCCCTGTTTTTGTGCCTCATTCAAAAAGTAGTCCAGGCTGAAACGCCCTTTATAACTTACGTGTGAATGTGTGAGGATGAGCTGCTGTAGGCTGACTAGACTGACAGACGTAAATGCGTTGTTTGTTTTTGTGTGTTAGCTTTGTATAGAATTCACTGCTACTGAAAACCACACCACAAAGGATCATGGGAAGCTTTTTTAAGCTCTGACCTCTGACTCTTTCCAGTGCTGAGCAGATGCCGGCTGTAGGAAGTCCTGTTTTTAGAAAGCGCCGCTGTATTTAGTTCAGAACTAAACCAACTCTCCACTGAGACCACAAATACTCTCTCTCACACTCACTCCCCCTGCTTTCTCTCTCTCTCTCTCTCTCTCTCTCTCTCTCTCTCGCTCGCTCGCTCGCTCGCTTGCTCTCGCTTGCTCTCTCTTTCTCACTTGCTCTCTCTGTCTCGATTTCTCTCTCTGTCTGTTTTTTTGTCTGTTTTTTTCTGTGTCTCTCTCTCTCTCTCTCTCTCTCTCTCTCTCTCTCTCTCTCTCTCTCTCTTCATAGTGTAGTGTAAATAAACTGAGAGAGTTGGTGAACTTAGTGTTTAGTGTGTGATAGGGTCACTCACCGTCCCTCCTACACTGGCTGGTCAGGGCGTATTGAGCTGTGAGTGTGCAGCACTGTCTGTGGTCCCCTAATAGATGCAGTCGAGTCTCTGTATTACAGAGGCTCTTAGATGTGGGATGATTACATTTTTGTGAAGAATTCTTTGTGGCTCTCAGAAACAGAGATGCATTTCCTGTCAGAATAGCCAAAAATCTCAGTTGGATGTTTATCCTGTTTGCCAAATTGTGGATTTGTAAGCAGACCCTACACTTCACTGACATGAAGGGCAATTGGTTTAATTACTGAATATTTTTAGCTACATTCTGATTGGAGTTTGACAAAAAATTGCTGTTTTATCGTGTAGAAAGCCCTGCATGAATAAATCATTTTGAGACCTAAATAATTATAGTTAGAACTGGCTGATTTAATTTGTGCCTAACAGAAATGTGTGCTTTGTTCGCTGAGATCTGGATCCTTTCTGAAATATAATAACTTCAGTTTTGTTTAGGTCAACTACCGGGGCCCAGATCTGGCAGTGCTGCCCCAGCAGGTTCAGGTTGCGCTATAGGCCTCTGTGACAAAAACAGCCTGTGTTAAATGTAACAGAGGAGAAGTCAGAAAATGCTCATGTAGTAATGAATTATGTCTTTTTGGTACATAAAACATATGTTCTAAATGGACCTCAGGGGAAAAAATAAATACATGTACATAGTATGACACGAGTCCTTTAATAACTGCTTTAGAATTCTGAATGTACTGAATTTCTATTCTTTAAATTGAAAGAACAAGAATCTGTATCTGAAGTTGACTTACTACTTGAAGATCAACTTAGTCTTTGAAGGCAGCTCAGTAGCTAACATTTTTGAGTTGAAACACCAATTTAACCATTTTTATATAATTGATCTATTCCTTACAGTGTAGATGTGAAATTAATGTATTTTCCACGTAAGCAGAACATATAAAATCCACACTGCTTCAGCCTGAATATCACAGTGCTTATGTACAGGTACTAAAACTGTAGCTCTATCAGAATATTGAGATCTGGAGGTCCGTTATTGTTCTGGCCCACAGTGTACAACTCCAATTTGTAATTTGTTGTGTGTTTTTTGTTTGTTGATTTGTTTGTTTTTTGTGGGGTTTTTTTGTACTTTATGTTGAAGGTTCCCCAAACATGTTATTTTTTTTTTTATCACAAACTACAGCCTTGTAGGGGGGAAAAAGCACCCACATTTTGTCACTGTCCAATGAAAAACTTATCTCCATTTTTTGCAATTTTTATTTTTCTGCATCTTTGGAGCTCAGCAGCTGTCTTTTACATTTTGTGTATATTTCATGATGATTGGACCAATAGAAATGTTCCAAAATTGCTTAGAGTAAAGTCTTCCCATTGACTTACATTGACAGTAAAGAACGTTTTTGCCCTCTCCTGTAAAGTTTCGGAGATACTTGTGGACAGTGACAATTTATTAAAATAAATCTAATGCAAAAGTTTGGGTGCCCCAGGTCAAATGACTTGTTGATTTTCTATGTGAAAATAAGTTAACACACCCTCAAACTGTGCATTAAAATGTGCAGAAGTGCATCCTCTGTACTGTTTATTTACTGATTTTTACATAATAGAAAAAATAAATAAAATCTGAAACATAGCCTGCGCAAAAGTTTCACTTTTATTTGTTTTACCAGTCTTTTATATTCAGTTAATAAATAGAAACTGTGCCCTAATATTAGCAGAAAATACCATATTTAAGTGTGTTCTCTGTAGAGGGTATGTTAACCTATTTTCACTTAGAACATCAAGAAGTCATTTGACATGGAATGCATATAACTATAAATCCTTCAGCTTATCTGGAAATCTCTCTGCTGCATTTGTATGTGATCATTATTTCTGCTCCTGCAGCATCATCAATGGGTTCGCTCTGCCTTTGAAAGCTGAACACAAGCAGTTCCTGATGAAGGTGCTCATTCCAATGCACACAGCCAAGGGGCTGGCACTGTTCCATGCACAGGTACTGACAGATTCGACACAAACACACATGTACAAGAAACTGTGTATATACAGCACTGTACAAAACTCAGAGACCCCTCATTTGTTTAATTTCCAGTCAAAACAGCCTTTAAGTATAATTAAGATATGACAATCCACTTCCATAATGAAGGAGAAAGTTAAACTGGAGTTCAGAAACTGATTTAAAAACTACAGAAAATGTGGCTCCTAACAACCACCTGGAAGACCTGGTAGACACAGAAACTGCCCCATCAGATAAACAGCAGTTAAAGCTTTCATCTTTGAGAGAGAGGAGAAAATCAAGCTGCTTCAGATCTGAAAACATCCACAGGTGTTTCTGTCCATCCTTCCACTGTGAGAAGACGACTCAGCGCTATGAGTCTGAAGGGATGTGTAGCTGTCAAGAAGAACCTCACTGAGAAAAGGAGACACATCAAACAAAGAAGCTGAATAATGAACTGACCACCCCAGAGTCCAGACCTCAACACCACTGAATGTGTTTGATTACTTCAGAAAATGATCAACCAGCTTCTAAGACTGAACTTTGGAGGTGTGTCTGCAGATTTCTTTGAGGAACTGAAAGTGAGTCTCCTAAAAAGAATGGAAGCTGCAATAAAGTTAGTGAGACACTGAAAAGAATTCTATTTTATTAAGTTGCTGAGACTTCTTTGCAGTGTACTGTTAAATAGGTTTTCAGCTTTTACTTGATGCTGAAAACTGAATAACTTGCACTGAATGAACATTTCAATCGGAATTTAAATGAAGGAAGGGTGGAATTCTGCACAGTGCTGTGTATTATGAGCTACAACATGATGGTATAATAAAATGTGCTCACATTTGCTGATGTAAATACAGAAAATGTTCATTTGTTCAAGGAAAAATACATGGAATATATCAGCAAGAAGAGAATCTAATTCGGTTTCAGTGTTAGATTTCTCTTCAACATAATACTCACTCTGCAGGCGCCTGAGTTAGAGATTTATGGACAGTGCTGCCATCTGGTGGCTCAGCTGCTGATTTTATTTTTCAAAAATAAAAAAGATTCTCTAGTGGGTTGGATTAAGTTCTATATTGAGGCGTGTTGGCTTCTGAAAGCATTGGGAAGGTGTTAGATTCGGACACAGTCTGCAGTCCTGCTGTTTGCTTTGCAGTTTTTCTTTAAACAGCTTAAAAGCATTCACCTACCCCAAGCAAACTCCAGCAGCTTTGTCATTGTGCTGGCAAAGTACAAGTAAACTGTAGGTGTATTTTGAATTATATACTACAGTTTAGTTACTTTAGTAGTGTTTTATTTAACAAGCTGTTAATTTTCTCACTTTTATTGCAGCTGTATCAGTGAGTTTTAGTAACGCAACAGCCATGTTCTCTGTTTAACTGATGACTCAGCTTGAATTTAATCATCATGTCACATATAAACATGCGTCTCTATCTGTATGTATGACGTTATAACTATTAAATATATGGATATTAATACAAATGAAGCATTTTTAATGAATGGATACAGGATTCTTTTTGACTGCTGGTATTACATGCCCAATAGATGGCAGCATTTAATTGTAACCTAAACACTACAGTCCTTACTTACATATATGCTATGGTATGGAATGTATATAGAACATACACCGATCAGGCATAACATTATGACCACCTCCTTGTTTCTACACTCGTTGTCCATTTTATCAGCTCAACTTACTATATAGGTGCACTTTATAGTTCCACAATTACAGACTGTAGTCCATCTGTTTCTCTGCATACTTTGTTAGCCCCCTTTTACCCTGTTCTTCAGTGGTCAAGACCCCATGGACCCTCACAGAGCAGGTACTATTTGGGTGGTGGATCATTCTCAGCACTGTGGTAACACTGATGTGGTGGTGGTGTGTTAGTGTGCGTTGTGCTGGTCTGAGTGGATCAGACACAGCAGTGCTGATGGAGTTTTTAAACACTGTGTCCACTCACTGTCCACTCTATTAGACACTCCTACCTTGTCAGTCCATCTTGTAGATGTAAAGTCAGAGACGATAGCTCATCTGCTGCTGCAGTTTGTGTTGGTCATCCTCTAGTCCTTCATCAGTGGTCACAGGACGCTGCCCACAGGACGCTGTTGGCTGGATATTTTTGGTTGGTGGACTATTCTCAGTCCAGCAGTGACACTGAGGTGTTTACAAACTCCATCAGCACTGCTGTGTCTGATCCACTCAGACCAGCACAACACACACCGACACACCACCACTACGTCAGTGTTACTGCAGTTCTGAGAATGATCCACCACCCAAATAGTACCTGCTCTGTGAGGGACCATGGGGGTCCTGACCACTGAAGAACAGGGTAAAAGGGGGCTAACAAAGTATCAGAGAAACAGATGGACTACAGTCTGTAACTGTAGAACTACAAAGTGCACCTATATAGTAAGTGGAGCTGATAAAATGGACAATGAGTGTAGAAACAAGGAGATGATCATAATGTTATGCCTGATCGGTGTATATTCTGCATGTTTTAATAAGTGTTATAATGTTACGGTTATAATGAGCAGGTGTACACTGTTTAGATAATGCTTAAAGAAGTAAATAAAGCAAAAATGATTCTTAACAATATATTTTGATGGAAAAGTGTGATCTTTAGTGCTCATGTTGTGCTCATGAGGCTTTTAGTGCTCATGTTTTCTTCTTTTTCAGCTGGCCTACTGTGTGGTTCAGTTTTTGGAAAAGGACCCCACACTCACAGAGCCGGTAAGACACCGTGTCCCACCCGGGGCTTGATTAGTAAAGTATATGGTTCCGGATCACTGAGTGGTGACTGATCCAGCAGGTCAATGAGAGGAGAGAGCACAGAACACATAGTTGCATCCATAATTGAATCTTAAGACTAATAAATGTGTTAACAAGGTTGTTACAAAAGGCTAGCCATTTAAATTCAGTAGTCTTATGCTATGAAATGAATTATTTCAACACTACAGAGTATTTAATACTTCTATGTCATGGCCCTTTTATAATGGGAAGTAATGAGAGGGTGGGAATTGGCTATGACTAAATTAGAGGAGAAAATGTGTTAAAAACAGCAGCACATCTTTCAGCATCCTACTCTGTTGGGTATGACACTGAAACAGATTCTTTTAAACATATCTGAGTTTAGGAAAAAGAAATAATAATCAATGCTTAAAACGGAATTAAAATTTATACAGAAAATAGAAAAAGTACAGTCGTTTCATATTTAAGTGTGTTCCCTGTAGAAGATGTGTTAACTTATTCTCACTCAGAACATCAACAAAACAATACTGGAGTATTTAAACTTTTGCATATGATTGCGAGTGTCATGTAATTGTCTGTTTTGAATTTGCTTATTCTTTTGATTTATTTATTTTTTGCTGTTTTCGTCACTGCATCCCTGTTTGTCTCGCTGCAGGTGATCCGGGGGCTTCTGAAATTTTGGCCTAAAACCTGCAGCCAGAAAGAGGTAAGAGTGATGATGCTGTAATGTTCAGATGTGTGTAAAGCACAGAGAACAGCTTAATCTGGTGTACGGTAAAAGATTTCAGACTGTACAGATACTTTCCTATGTGCTGCACCAAATCAGGAAGTTAAAACAACAGCATTATATTCTGTCTATGAATCATCAGTCATGTTTCTACATGATGGACGATATGGCAAAAATACAATATCACAGTACTTTAAGGCATTTTCACAGTACACGATGCACGTCATGATATTTATTTGAGCCTCACCCACTCAAGTCATGGGCCAGACTGCTTTTTGAATAGCACAATACAGGACAGCCAATCAGAATGGTGCTCAATTACATATTAGTCTTTAAACCACTAACGAAACAGAGGTTGGAAAATTTTCATGTAGAAATGAATTATGACTGTTTTTGGTACATAAAGCCAAACAAATTTTATCAGTGGGGAAAAAATAAAATACAGTAACAACATAGCATATTGACCCTTTAAGAACTGACCATTTCTAACATTTACTTAGAAAAAGCATATTGTGATGTAAATTATCACAATAATGATAAATATTGTCATACTGCCCAGCCCTAATAAATGGCCAACTCTTCCCTTTCATTGTAAAGCTGCTGTATTATGTTGCTTTTATCTGTTCAGGTTATGTTTCTGGGGGAAGTTGAGGAGATTTTGGACGTCATTGAGCCGACTCAGTTTAAGAAGGTTCAGGAGCCTCTTTTTAAACAGATCTCTAAGTGTGTGGCCAGTCCTCACTTTCAGGTACAGACACTTTACAAAAATGTTTTCCAATACAGTACCTGTCAAATTTTAAAGCGTCTAATATTTCAGTTGTCTTAACTACCAACTACATTACTTACTCATATTGCATAATTCAGTATCAAGCACAAAACTCACATTCAGCGGTTTCACTGCTGTAAAAAAACAAAAATCTTCAAGTCTGTGCACTTTTCCTGTCTATTTAGAAGGTAGTTACTATGCATCACCTATACATTTGTCTTGCCAGCAGGTCCAGTCTTTAATTCCACATAACTTAAGAATAATTTGCATTGTTTTCCATGTAATGACTGAATAATAAGCCTTAGGATGTAAACCTGGCAACGGAAGGGGATAATCCTAATAGCTTCACTGTAAGACTGCATCCTGTAGAGTTTAGTGCAAAACAGCACTCTGTCTCCCGCAGGTAGCAGAACGGTCGCTGTATTACTGGAACAATGAGTACATCCTGAGTCTGATTGAGGAAAACATTGACAAGATCCTGCCCATAATGTTCGGCAGCCTGTACCGGATCTCTAAAGAACACTGGAACCAGTATGTATTCTATAGAATAGGGCTGCAGAGACATATGATACATACAATGTAAGCATCTCCATAGAAAATAAACATGCAAGGGAAAGTAAATGTATAACACTGTCAAACGATTCTAAGATCAGATTGACTGAGTCACTCAGTATACACTTAGGCCACCCTTCGTTAATTTAAATACTAGTCAAAAACAGCCAACTTATTCATGTTATTCATTTTCAGGAAACTAATCGGAACACTAATATAACAGAAAATAAACAGAAACCTCAACAACTAAACATAATTATTTTCAGTGTTCTGTGTTTCCACTCTTTACCTTTGATGCAGCTTGCATACCTTCAGGAGACTTACTTTCAGTTTCTCAAAGAAATCTGACACACCTCCAAAGTTCAGTCTTAGAAGTTGATTGATCATTTTCTGAATTAATCAAACACATTCAGTGATGTTGAGGTCTGGACTCCATTGTTCAGCTTCTTTGTTTGATGTGTGTCTTTTTTTCTCAGTGAGGTTCTTCTTGACAGTTACACATACTTTCAGATCCATAGCACTGAGTTGTCTTCTCACAGTGGAAGGATGGACAGAAACACCTGTGGATGATTTCAGATCTGAAGCAGCTTGATTTTCTCCTCTTTCTCAAAGATGAAAGCTCTAAGTGCTGTTTATCTGATGGGGGCATTTTAGGTGTTTTTGAACTTCAGATTTGGAAACTCCTGTTATTTCACTTTCACTTTGACCTTCCTGATGCAAGTGAATTAGCCTTATATCTAATCACCTCAGAAATATCTCCTGAATAATGAATAACTTGTACTTAGTGGCTATTTTAACTAGAAATTATACAAATGAGGGGTCTCTGACTTTTCTCAGTACTTTATGACCACATGTCAAATGAATTCTGTATATATGCACCAAGTTAATAAAAAACACTATGCTGTTCATAGAATAGCCTTTAACCATTATGTTGTTTGGCACATACAGTCCACTGTTCATGAATTACATTGCTTGACAGAAACTGAATATGAATATTATTATTCATAGTTATTGAACATTGGTCTGTTTGATTATAATTTATGGCTGTTTTATAAAAGCAGTGATCCAGCATGTGGATTATTACGGAGTTAATATGTACTGAAATGTAAAACAATGCCCCATTTAATCTTTTTCTCTCACACATTTTCCAGGACGATTGTAGCTCTTGTGTACAACGTGCTGAAAACTCTTATGGAGATGAACAGCAAACTGTTTGACGAGCTCACAGCCTCATATAAAGCCGAAAGACAACGGTGAGACTTCCCCCCCCATGATTGAGTGCTGCCAGGCCTCAAAACTCAAAGATTCTCTACCATTTTATTTATGTATTAAAGCCTCAATCACAAAACTTTTAGAGCTAAATTATGTAACACAATCAGTGCCAACCTAGTCAGTCTGTGGAGAAAAAGTCTGAGATTACACTGAATTCAAAGGACATTATTTAATATGTGGATAAATAATGACCAAGCTAGAGTCTCCTCAGAGTGAAAATAAGGCCAAGAAAGTGTTGCTTTTATAACTAGCTGTGAGAAACTGTGAGTAAATGTTTCCTGCCTATGGCCTGTATTAAGGATGAACAGTATTTCTGATGATTTGCTGTGTAATGACTGATGATTAATGATTTTTTTAGTTGCAATATTTTTTATTTTCTTTTAAAAACATGGTTTAAAACATTTTTCATGTCAAAATGCATTTTTTTTTGCCATGGCAACCTTCAAAGGTTGGTGCATCAGTTTGGTGGGTAAAAGATTCTTTTGGGGGTTCTGTAGTAAAGACATTAGTTCTAAATAGAACCACAAACACTTAAAGAACCGTCTGAATGCATAAATGGTTCTTTGCATCATCAGTTCCTTTCTATTATGGAAAAAACAGTGGTATATGGTTTTAAGAGTCCTTTTAAAATGGTTCTGACTTCTGATGTAGCACTGAATAGTGTTACACCATTGTTACAAGTCAATCAGATTGAGTGAATAAGTAGAAACTGTGCACTAAAACTTACAGAAAAATGTCGTATTTGAGCCTCTGTAGTAGATGTGTTAACTTATTTTACCTTAGAAATTCAACAAAACATCATTTGATAGAAGGTCTTATTTAACCCTTTTGTTTCCAATCAAAATTTAACAGTGAATTAAGAGTATTACTACAATGCAGTGTTTAAATACAAACCCCATTTCTGGAAAAGTTGGGACATTTTGTAAAACGCAGTAAAAACAAGAATATATGAATTGTTACTTCTAAACCTTTATTCAACTGTCCAGAGTACAATGAAAAAAATCCCAATTTTTTCACTGATCAACTTAATTGTATTTTGTAAATATAAACAAATTTAGAATTTCATGCCTGCAACACAACACAACAACAGTTGGAACAGAGGCATGTTTACCACTGTGTTATACCACCTTTACTTTAATTAGACTTTTTAATGGTTTGGGAACTGAGGATACTAATTATTGCAGTTTTGCAAATGAGATTTTTACCCATTCTTGCTTGATACTAGACTTCAGCTGTCCAACAGTCCATGGTCGTCGTTTGATTCTCCTCTTTATGATGCACCATACATTTTCAATAGAAGACATATCTGGACTGCAGGCAGATCAGTCAAGCACATCCACTCTGTGTCTATGAAGCCACACTGTTGTAGCACGTGTGGAGTGAGGCCTGACATTGTCTTGCTGAATCAAGTAGTGACATCCTGAGAAAAGACGTCTTGATGGCAGCATGTATCTCTAAAATCACAAAATATACTTCCGTGTGCAATGGTTTCCGGCCTTGCCCTATACTGACTGAGATTTCTTCAGATTCCCTGAATCTTTTCACAATATTATGTATAGTAGACTTAAATTCCTTGCAATCCTATGTTGAAAAATGTTATTTTTGAACTGTTTGACAGTTTTCGTACAAAGTTTAGCACAAAGTGGTACAACTAATCTTTGCTTGGGAACACTGAACCTTTGGTGGATGCTCCTTTTATACCCAGTCATGATATGTCCAACTGTTACCAATTCACTTGTTTATTGTGGAATGTTTCAAAGTGGTGTAACTTGAATATTCTATAAACTTTTCACTCTTATTTTGCTCTTGTCCCAACTTTTGTTGAGTGTGTTGCAGGCGTCAAATTCAAAGTGTATTTACAAAACACATTCAGGTTGGTCAGCCAAAACATTCAAAGTTAGAATGAACAAATCATAGATTCTTAATTTTATTGTATTTTAAAAAACGTTTCTGGAAATGAGATTTCCATTATAAGTATGATGATTATTAGATAAATGAATTCCAGTTCCGGATTGAATTAATATACAATTTTGCCATTTTAAAGTTTGTGCACTCTTATCCTCAGAGAGAAGAAGAAGGAGCAGGAGAGAGAGGAGTTGTGGAAGAAGCTGGAGGAGCTGAGGCTGAGCGAAATCTCCAAAAACCAGAATAACACTCATGGCCTCCAGAACAGCAACAACAACAACAGCAGCGGCGAGCCAGAGGACCACAGCAGAATCAGCACCACGGACAGCATTAACACCAAAAGCTACACACTAAACGTGCAATGTGCCAAATGACACAGGACTGCTTTATTACTTAAACCATGAGGGTTTAAAACCAGCAGCAAACGGGAAGATGGGATCTGTAGGGACATTTAAAACTGAAAAATCATTAAAAAAAACTATATAGATCTATACACAAGTACTTTATTCTCTTTTTTGGCAGAAAATAATATATTTGGACTATGAGAATATTTTTGGATGTTAAAGTGCGGTCATATTACTTTTTTTGTGTCTGGTCAGAGATTTTAACCTCCTTACTTGTAATAAGGCCTAATTTAGAGCTTGACAGTACAAGAGCATGCTCTTAAAGTTGCACTTTACTGTACTGGGGTTGGGTGACTCATGTCCAAAGAGAGAAAAACAATCAGTAGCATTGTGTTAGCTCAAATTTAATCTATGTATGTGAGCTATTTGGTTTTTCAGCCTATATGTGATTAATCAGCCACCTGAAAGAGCTATAAGTAAGCTTTAACAAGAAATTGGGCAGTTCTTTTAGAATCTGCAATCATTTACGGTTTGATTCAGTTTTTAAACCACTGCTTACTGACCACTTTATATAATAACACACCTCTCCCCAATCTACCTTATACATCCACTTACTCATGACACATGGTGGTGGCAGCTCTGTGAACACTGATGAGGACAAAAGGATGCCTAACTGTATATCAGCAGATCAGCTACAACTGTACACCAGCAGGGTGGAGCTAGACAAGAGGGGTTTCTGATGAAGTGGCCGGTGAGTGTGTATGTTCAAAGCAACAGGTCATGGAATGTTTATTGTTCTGCAAGTGTAGCATCACCTCTTTGTGAAAAGATTTCATGTTTTTATGAATGACAGAGCAGATAGTATCTACCCAGTCAGCTGGACTGTAAAGACTACTGTCGCTAACAGGAAAGAACAGCAGTGCCAAAGAAAGCATTCAAACAGTTGATGGCACTTTGGGGGCAGCTTAGCAGATCTAGTAGCTCAGCTGAGCTGACAAATACACCCTTTTGTTCCAACTGTTGATTGGACTAGATTGGACAAACTTCTAACTACTTTCAGTCATTTGCAGTATAAAATCCAAAAGTGTGACCACACACATACAAAATATATATTGTTTCAGATTATTAAAACATTTGAAATATCCATTTAAAAACTCAAAACATATGCGGCAGTTTCACATTTAAGCTATCCAACTTAGCAACTGTAACTATAAAAAGAACACATTTCTGGGTGGTCAGTTTGTGATTTTCAGCTGTTGTCTGCCGCATGCCACATCTTTACATGTTACAACTGGCTATTCAAACAGACGATGCATTGAGCGGTCACTTTTTTCACCTGTCCAGTCTGGCACATGACTGGCCCAACATGCTCGGAGTGGATAAATTTGTCCTGTCGACATTTTGAAAGGCTGATTTTTGAAGCACAACAGTGAGCGATGACCTATAGTTAATAATTGCATTCATTTACATGAATCCTCTCACCAGTAGCACCTGTGTGAACTTAGCCGTGCTGAATGCAGCCTTAATTAAGTGTTGTAACCGAACCCTTTTCCATAATGTATGTTTCAGGCTCCGCCTTATGCAGATGATATCAGATACCTCATTGTTATTTTTAGCTTCTGGTTTCCAGTGAGCTGTTAATAGATAAAAGAAAAAAAAAATGGTGCCCCGTTCGGTGGTGATGTTCTGGATTAGTTCTGCTTTTACAGAATGTGGTTTGTATGTTTTTTTTGTTTTGTTTTGTTTTTTTTTGTTTGTTTGTTTTTTTTGGTTTGTGTTTATCATTGTTGTTTGCTGTAATACCAAAAATGTCCCCACCACTCACTTTAATTAATGCATAATATTTCCAATAACATGAGCTGTTTTCACTGGAAGTTGATTTGTTAAGCTCATGATATTTGATTCTCTGAGAACGTTTCCTTTGCTGTATGTAGTAACAATGGAGACTTTAAGCAGAGATGGCAGCAGGGACGGGTACAAAGGCTAAAAAAAAATGTGCTTTTCCATCTGCGCAAATTTGGATCGCAGCTTTTTGCGACTCTAACCTGCTTTTCAACTACGGCAAAAACAACAGCTGACATTGCGTGACATTTCAGCGAGTTAATTTCATGCTTCTGATGTGTTTAGAATATGAAATTCATTTGCAATAGATTTGGCATACTAGAGGGTACCGGACTACCACTATTCAGGTATTCATTTTGGTTCATCATGGGACAAGGGAGAAAATATACAGGCTAAAAATTCATAAATTTTATGTTTTAACAGGGCTGTAAAATAGTGCCTGAACATGAGCCCTTGCCAAGGATGTGACAGTGAAGATAGCGTAGCTAGCTCTGGCACAGCTTTTTCACCAACTAGGCTAACTACTCTAGCTGATGTTAGCCTGGCCCAGAAACAGTGGAAAGTATATTTCTTTGACAGACTAACATGTTGGCATATCGTGCACAGAGGAGAAAAGACCTTGTGAAAAAGATGGAGTCTTCATGAGCTTCCAACTTTGTTAGCTGTACTGTTAGCGTTAGCGCATTAGCTCATCTAAAGAGGCAGCGTTCAGGACTCTCCCAAAATCCACAGATTTCCTTCTGCTAATTGTGAATTATATGTTTTCATATTTCGGCTTGCCAAAACCAGTGCCACAAACTGAAAATTATGCCTGCGGCCGTATACTTATTTTGGCTGAAGTTCATTTTTTAACCATTTTTGTTGCTTCTCTTCCTTGTGGTTAATCACACTAACTCTTACTGGAATCTAACTGGAATTTGTAAAGTAGTCACACATCCCTACATTAGATAACAACACTATTCCTTCAGTGAATTTCAAAGACACTGCTTAAAGCAGCACTATGTAGGATTTGAAGATTTGGAGACCTCTCTGGTGGAATTATGTAACTGTGCATAACATACGGTAGAACTTTTTGGGTTTTCCAGCCGTCCTGTTGTTGCTCACTACCTTTTGTTTCCATGCTAACACAGATTTCGCCCTCCCAGCAGCTGCTTAAAGTCCCTGTTGTCTTAAAATGTTGGTGTTTTTGTACCTAAAAATGAAATATGTCCCGGAAATGGCATAACATTTGAATCTTAACCTGTTAGAGTGCTAGTTCAGTAGCATTCAAATGACAATGCATAGTTATAAAGTATTTGAACACAGTCTGTTGCAAAGGACGCCTGTGACTGAAAAGACAGACAGATGCTAACTAGCTAACTAGGCTAACTACTCTAGCTGATGTTAGCGAGGTCCAAAAACAGTGTAAATATATTTCTCTGACAAACTAGCTGGTTGGCACATCGTCCACTGAGGAGAAAAGACCTTGTTAGCATCCCACTCAGCTGTAGTGTTAGCGTTAGCTTGTAGCTCATCTGAAGAGGCCTTCATTACTCATCTGAGACCAATATCTGCTGCTTTTTCTTGGCTGTTTTTGAATAATAAAACACGTTTTCAGATTTTAGCTTCTTAAAACCAGTGCTAACGTCTAGGAAGTAAGCCTACAGCCTTACACAATTTTATTTTCTTTTTTTTTTTGTTAATGTTTCCTTCCCTGCAGGTAACCAGATAATCGTTCATTATCATGTACGGATAGAATTTACAACGTCAGAATACACACTAGATAACAGTATTTCAATTGATTCAGCACAAAATTTTAAAGCAAACACTTTGGACAAACACTTTGGTCAGCTGTCTTGTTAGAGTTTTTGCTCACTGCTTTTAGGTTTCTATGCTAATGCAGAGTTAGCATTCCCTGTAGCTGTCGATGCTCAAAGTCCCTAATGTGCTAAAATGTAGGTGTTTTTGTACCTAAAACAAAAATATGTCCCAGAGTTGCCATAACATTTTAGTCTTGGGCCATTAGATTGCTGCTTCGAAAGTTGAAAAAAGGCACAACCCATACTGTATAGTATTATGTTCAGTCATTTATAGTCTTTCCTGAGGTATGACTGACCGTTTCCCCACTTATTTGAAGTGTTGCCACACATTTAAGATCATGCTTTTGTACTAAGAACATCTAAATCTGGTTAATCTTAGTTTTTTAATGTGTTAGACACTGTAGTTCTATATAAATGTGGGTTTAGGGGTGAAATGACTTGAATATTTTTTGATTATGCTACATTTAGAAACTTGAAAGTAACTTGTAGTCTATTTTATATACATGTGCTCTTCACACAGCTGCCACCGCTGCAGTGCTGACGTCGGGCCTTTAGAGGTTACAGACACTGAGTGTGTGAACTAATTGTGTACTTTTCACTTCAGTAGTGACGTGAAAGCCACCTCAGATATTTAAAAGTGGTCAAATATGGTTCAATGTTTGGCCCAAAGGAACGAACCTGAGAGCTGTGTGGTCTGTAGAGACGCAGCCTGCAGTATTAGCACAGAAAATGGGGTGTTTGTGTATGTGTGTGGGTTATTTTTCCAAGAATGAAAAAGTAGAGCCATATATTTTCACAGTGTAAGAGTATCTGAGAAGTAAATCAGGGTTGATTGGACCACTCTTGGTCTGTAGCTTCACTAAAGTGGATCCAGCTAAGTGTGTGGGTTAAGCAGAGGCTTTGTGTGCTTTAAGGTGAGTATTTTTCTTTCCCGGTTGTTGAAGGTCCTGTTATTTGTTGTACCTCTCTGATATTTCTCTATCAGAGTAGCATTCCTGTCTGTGTGAAATCCGGTCGTGTGGAGAACCTTAACGGACTTTGAATACCACTGAAATAAAGGCAACCTAATGTTTCTACTGCTTGTCCCAGGAATGGCTTTTATTTCTTACTTGGATTATGAAAAGTGTAATTTTCCTCAAGTTTGAAAAAGGATTTAAAGTGCCCATATCCTACGTTTTACCTGCATTTTATTTTTTCCTCAAGATCGACTTATAAGGCTTTTGTAGATTTGTGTGCCAAAAATAGCCATAACGCTTTTTACATTTTCAATCTTTACGACAGATGCACGTAAGTGACCTCTGTTCTGATTGGTTGTCCTGTATTGTGCCTCATTCAAAAAGTGGGGGGTGGTCTAAAGCCTAAGGCCCTTAGTTCCAGTGAAGGGAAATCTTAATGCTTCAGCATACCAACATTTTTTTGACGAATGTGTGCTTCTAACTTTGTGGGAACAGTTTGAGGAAGACCCTTTTCTGTTCTGGCATGACTGAGCCCCAGTGCACAAAGCAAGGTCCATAAAGGCATGGCTGGGTGAGTTTGGTGTTGAAGAACTTTACTGGCCCTCAAAGAACCCTGACCTCAACCCCATCAAACACCTTTGGGATGAACTAGAACGGAGATTGTGAGCCAGGCCCTCTAGTCCAACATCAGTGTCTGACCTGGATAAATGGGCTTAAATTCCCACAGACACCCTCCAAAATCTTATAGAAAGCTTCCCAGAAGAGTAGAAGCTGTTAGAGCTGCAAAGGAGGGATTAACTCCATATTAATGCCTATGGATTTAGAATGGAACATCAAAAGCTCCTGTTGGTGTAATGTGTAGGTGCCCCAATACTTTCCATATAGTGTAGATTCAAAATATACAATTCATACAATCCATAAATGGGCTGCAAAAATGTTAAAATATTGCTAGGGACTGCTTTTTTGCCAGAATACCTCACAAATCATTAGGAATTTTATGTATCTATTTATTTAATTTATTCATTTATTTATTTTGCATAATCCGATCCCTAAGTTTCAGACCAAAACTTTGTCTCATAACTATCCTAATACGATGGGCTTCATTCTCCAATATCTTCATAAGTTTTTTCTTAAATGTGTTTCTGAGAAAGTCCTAAGAAAAAGTATGTTGTGAATAAGGGCCAATTGTCTCAGGCAGTGTATTCATAACAATTTCATGTAATAACTGTCTGTGAGGTTTTTACTCTGACTCTGTAAGTTTTCTCGAACAGAGCATTTCACACCAAACCACTCTGAACGACTCTGTTTTTATTATCCCACCGCTGAATATTACAGCATTTCAACCAGCAGTCAGAACTCTACACCGGCCTGTTCTTTTCATGCTGTCGCAGTCAAAGGGTGTCGCTGCACAGTGTAATTATGTAATGATGCAAATGGCCTGCTGAAATGCTGTGTGGATCTTATGCTCTGGGACTGCTGCCAGTGCTCATTATCAACAGTTCATTTGTGTGTGTATGTATGTCACTTTCTAGAAAAATCTTATACATCCACAGTTCCTTTAGTATAGGTTACAGTGAGTTTTGCGTTTCTGGGGTGTGAGTTTGATTTGAGTCTCGAGTCTCTGAGGTGCAAGTCAGAGTCAAGATTCTAGTCTGAAGTTTTTGGGGTACAAGTCAGAGTTGAAATTCCAATCTAAAGTCTCTGGGGTTCAAGTCAGAGTTGAGATTCCACTCTAAAGTCTCTGGGGTTCAAGTCAGAGTTGAGATTCCACTCTAAAGTCTCTGGGGTTCAAGTCAGAGTTGAGATTCCACTCTAAAGTCTCTGGGGTTCAAGTCAGAGTTGAGATTCCAGTCTAAAGTCTCTGGGGTTCAAGTCAGAGTTGAAATTCCAGTCTAAAGTCTCTGGGGTTCAAGTCAGAGTTGAAATTCCAATCTAAAGTCTCTGGGGTTCAAGTCAGAGTTGAAATTCCAGTCTAAAGTCTCTGGGGTGCAGATCAGAGTTGAGATTCCAGTCTAAAGTCTCTGGGGTGCAGATCAGAGTTGAGATTCCAGTCTAAAGTCTCTGGGGTGCAAATCAGAGTTGAGATTCCACTACAAAGTCTCTGGGGTGCAAATCAGATTTGCAGATTGAGATTCTGGACTAAAGTCTCAAGTCCAAGTTGAATCATCAGTCTGATTTGAGTCTTGCGTCTCTGGCATGAGTCTGAGTCAAGTTTCATGTCTATGGCGTCAGAGTCTAAGTCAAGTTTTGATTCTGAGGGGTGCAAGTCAGAGTGGAGATTCTAATCTAAAATCTTTGAGGTGCAAGTCAGAGTCGAGATTCTTGTCTAGAGTTTCTGGGCTGCAAGTCAGAGTCGAGATTCTAATCTAAAGTCTCGGGTTGCAAGTCAGAGTGTGTCTAGTTTTGAGTCTCTAGCATGTGGGTCTGAGTGGATTCTGAGGTGGAATCATAGGTTTCATAGGCCTCCTAAATCAAATAGGCATGGGATATTTATTAAGCTGATTTTTTTTAAGAAAATGAAATATGATTGTTTACTGTGAGCACTGGCACTCTATTATGGTAGTGCTGAAAGGATTTTATGGGATTCAGTGTGGAAACAGCAACATAACGACCCAGTCAGCAGTGACTTCGGAACAGTTGTGGTTCGGCCATCGACTTAACTTCTCATTGAGTTTATCCCTGTGCGAGAGACTCTGCTACCAGAGTGATTTTAACTGCTTTAGATGTTCAAGTATGCAGCACACATACTATAGGCTAACATAGGACCTCACTACTATATAAATGTAAGAGTTCATGGGGGTAATTAGCCAATTGTATTTTTTTTATTTGGACCACTCGTAACATTGCTAGCTAAATCAGCATGCTTCGGTCTAGTTCCAGTAGCTGCTCAGTTTAGGCTGTAAGCTCAGTAGTGGGCTACATTAGTGATTAGATGAGAAATTAAAGTTGTGTTACTTATGTGTAACATACCACAACCAACATGCGAAAATTCACTGTTATAACTAGCACATTGATAGCATATCACTATGTAACACTGATTATGAAATCAAAGTATTTTATCTTCGTAATGAAGGTTTTGTAGAGATAGACTTTTATAATGTATGTTTAATGTATTCTTTTTGAGATGATGTCACACTCAGAGTATCACAGGACCCTGTAATATTTGAGGGAAAAGTGTACACAGAACAAAAGGCATTGGGTTTGTAACATTTTTGTTTACATTTTTGTTTACCACGGGGTCCGACAGCAGCAATTTCCACATTTTCCTTTTTTACCCATAGAGACAAACAGCTTAGACCCAGAGTTCCTTATTCGGGCATGTCACTGATTACAGAATAAGAGGTCTTTTCATACGAGATCTTTTTCGCCATTAGTTATATAATCTAAATGAATGCTTTTTGACTCCCTTTGACCACCACAGCATGAAAATCACAGCCAATCATAGTGTGCGGTGTAATGACTGTTGTTTTTACTGGCTCAGACACATACTGAGAGCCTTACTGCCAGCCCCCAGTCTGTACTAGTCAGAGCGAGCTTTCTGCTCTGGTGGTTTAATTTGCTTATTGTTTACTGCTCTGCTCTGACATTAACTGGAACAGAGCTCAAAAAGGTGGTTGTTGCTGCTTTACTTATGATGTAAATGCTAATGTAAATGATGTAAAAAGAAAAACAGTAACTAAGTGTGAATCAAGCAAAAGTAATCTCATTTGCAAGATTCCACTTCTGGTAAACCCAAACTTTATTCAGAGACCTTTTGATTTTTTTTTCATCTTTTAAGGGTGAAACTTCCAAGTAATGGGTTAAACTTCTGATTGTAAGATGACTCATACAGGAAAAGGATGTAAAGAACTACAGACTGACAAAACAAAACATTGGCAAAAGGACTAGTTTTTAATAAGAATGTGGTCAATCTTAGTCAATTATTTAGTCAATTACTTAATTAAATATTATTTTGATTATTAATCAGATATGAGTTTTTCTTCTTTGTCCATTTCGAGCTTGTTAGATTTATGATCAAATAGGAAAACTTGTTTAACTTCTAACCCAGCATGTTGTTAATGTCTGTAGGAGACAACAATGACAAGTTACTAATAATAATAAATTATTTGTATTGTATCTTTCTTTTGCTGTGTTATTGTATTGACACAACATACCTGATGTGATCTCCAGGCTTTGTATTTTATTGTTTTGTTTTAAAACATTAGGATACACCTTCACAGCTTCTTCACAGCTAAGCCAGATACTTATGATAGCTTGTTTACCCAAATGGTATAATCTCCAACTCATAAAAGCCAAAGAGTTGCGGTTTTGCTCTTGCTTTCTTGGGAGATGACTCTATTTTGGCCTTTTGTTCATTCCGATTAAATCTGCTCAGCAAAATTTTGCAAAATTTGCCAAAACATCTCATAACAAAACCACACCAGAGGGCATGCGCATGGCCACAAAAGAGCAGAAGACTCTGGCAAGAAGAGGGCACAGAAGGAAATAAAGAAAAATTGCAGTGCTGTTCTGATTGAAACACCATTTACAGTGCTGTGCAGACATTTTTGGAAATGATTTTCTTCCTTTATTAGATAGAATCAGTTTAATCAGTCCTTCATTTAGTAAATCACTGTAATCAAACGTGTATTGAGTTCAGTCATTTTACTCAATCCTTCATTGAGTTAAATCAGTTTAATTTATCCTCTATAAAGTTAAATCAGTTTAATCAACTCTTCATTAAGCAAATCAGTTTAATCATTCCTTCATTAGGTAAATCAGTTTAATCAGTCCTTCACTGGTGTAAGACAGTTTAATCATTCCATAATTGAGTTATATCAGTTTAATCAACCCTTCATTGAATTAAATCAGCTTAATCAATCCTTCATAAAGTAAATCAGTTTAATCAGTCCTTCAATGAATAAGATCAGTTTAGTCAATCCTTATTTGAGTTAAAAGAATTTAATCAATCGTTCATTGAGTTAAATCAGTTTAATCAATCCTTCATTGAATTGGATCGGGTTAATCAATCCTTATTTGAGTTAAATCAGTTTAATCAGTCCTTCATTAGGCAAATCAGTTTAATCAATCCTTCATTGAGTTAATTCAGTTTATTCAATCCTTCATTGAGTTAGATCAGT